CTGTGCTTCTGTGTTTTCTGTTTGTTTGTATTCTGAGAACAATTAGATTTTGATACACAGCACAAGTTCCCTAGTACTGCAGTAAATGCAAATAATTATCTGTTCTCATTTAGAGTCTGTGGGCACYATGAGCAGCCAATAAACAAAGGGATGACACAGATCCTTAACTGATGCTGTATGGATCCTAAATAGAGAACTGAGTAGGGGAACAGTAAGTTAAGAAGTAGATTCCAGGAGTCACCATGCGTTTAGCTCCTTTCACCTTTTCTGAATATGCAAGTTAATTCTTTACATTACTTTCCCACTCCCTGGTTTGTTCCTACAACCTGCTGCTTGCCTGCAGAGTAAAGGCAACAACTAATCCCTAGCTCCTTTCCCCTGCATGAAATAAACACTCTGAGTAGCACGTGTGCTTTGGGGAGCGGGCACATCTCCTCTCTTCTACCTCCTTTTTTTCACTTCTAAATCAAACTGACAATTTCTTAGAGCAGTTGTCTGTATGATGCACCAAGCACAGAGTGTCTATAGCACAGCCGTACATTTGACAGGCCATTGGTGCGGACTGTACTAGGCAGARTTTCTTTATGATTAATTACCTACAGGAAGCCAGTCACCAACAGTTTTCTGATAGATAGCGCCTTTGCTGAGCCAGGTGTTGGGTGATGACAGGTACCAAAAGCATGGAAGAGGTGGGTGGAAACCACAGCCAGGGACAGTGGAAGGGAGACCAAGCATTTGGATGATGCAAGACTGAATRTCTCACTGCTCTAACAGCTACAGCCCAAGCACCAAGCAGTGCCAGAGGGCACCTTAGTGCTGCTCTTCTGATCCAAACCTCAGCTTCCACAAAGAGACTGTTTGATAGCAAATAATTTCAGCTGTCTCTCTCCTTTAGTCACCCCTGCTCTGTGGGGCCTCTGTAGAGCCCTATAAGGAAGCCCACAGCTCCAGGCTGAGGTCAGTTCTTTTGCCAAGATCACTGGAGATCACATGTAAGCCGGTGCCAAAACTGCTGTGTGCCTCCAGCACTGGCAAGTCCACCAGTACAAATGAATTGCAGGGAATGAACATTATGAGGCACATTTATGGAGAGCCATGGGAGGGACAAAGAGAGAGGGAGAAACACAGCAAAGAATGAACAGAAAAAGAAAGGGACACAGCAGACACAAAATGGACCTATGCATAAATTAGAAAGGCAAACTGGTGATACCTTTTGTCAAATATTCATTGAAGGATGGTTTGCACAATTGCAGCCAGAAGCAACATTAACAGCCAGCACTGAAACACTGCTGGCAAGCTGCCTTCCTCTTCTAAAAGCCACCCATCCCTAGCACTGCAAAAGTATCAGTAGAGCCATCAGTATATATGATGCTGAAAATTAATCCAGGCAAGTTTTCCCTGCAAACTGCTTCCATTATATGCAGACAGAGAAACTACACTGTATGTCACCTATGCATTGAAGACAAAATGTGCAATCCTGTTATTTGGTGTCTGGTCTCTCCCCTCGGCTCTGTARAATGTGGGACTGGACTGCACCTTTGCCTTCAGTGGCTTGAAGAAGATAAGCAGTAAATAATTTATTTGGAGGCCTTTTCTGGCACAGACCGATGTGTATAGACACAGAAAGGAAACATCACTTGTTGAAAGGTCAGCAGATACTGGTTATGAGCARGGGAATGTTCTCACAGGAAACACTGAAGACTGTGCAGAAGTAAACATACCTCCAGTGTGGAGTGGCGTGGTGATGCAGCTGAGTCCCTCTCTGGGGAGTAGCTTCCCAGGGATGATGCACAAGGCCCTTGGGGTATTTACACAGCCTGTTTTCTAAAGACCAGCTGCCACTCAGCACAGTTTATCTTCTTTTCCTGATTATTCAATCTGTGTTTTCTTTGCTCCTTCTGGCTGCCTCTTGCTCCAGTTCCTGGAACTGTGAGCAGCTGAGGCCTCAGTAGCACCTGTGTGTGTGCCAGGCACAGCAGCTGCYGCATCCCTGGATGCTGAGTGCAGTCTGTCCACCACACACATTTCCACACTACTGGGGCAACAGGCTGCTTGTAGTTTCTTCCCATGCAGATTTGTTTCTAACTCCAGAAACATTGTGCTTTCCTGCAGTGTGCAAACTCTCAGCTTCTGATATTGTCTGTATTTTGTGTTTCTTTCAATGAGGAGGGTTCTCCAAAAAGACTCATCCTCTTGTTGCTACCAAAATTAGGAGAGGAGAGAGATTCCCAGCTTGTGAAAAGTCTGGCTGAATTCTATTAGAGGCATAGATAATGTAACAAGTGAGGATCTCACTGGATCTCTGCATTTGGGTCTCTCAAATGCTCCAAATTCCAAGAAACTTTAAACAAAGAGCATTTGAAAAACACGGTTCTGGTGCTCCTACACAGGCTCAGAGCCCGTCTTCTTCTGGCAAAGGCTTGAGTGTCCATGTCTGATAGCTCTCCCTGCAGGGACACAAATGTCTAAGCTTAGAAATTTGTTGCAGTCTCCACTTTGGGCTGGAGGAGCCGTGACATGCACAGYATTTTCAAACACACAGAGATTAAGGAGGAGGCCAAGTTGAACAGCTGACATCTCTTCATACTTCTTAGCTAGRATTTTGCTTATTTCTTGCAACAGCAGGGTTCAGAGGGATGCACTTTTCTCCGTGGAACAAAGAGGGCACTGTGTACCAAGCTTTTGCTGTACAAAATCAGTTCAGTGAAATTCCCTTTTGCTGCTTGCCTGCTCCTGGCTGCTCACAGGCCTGCTGTCTCCTCTACCTCCACTATTTTTTTGATTCAACAACTGTAACAATAAAAGACATCAACACATTGTCCGTAGAACACAATTCACATCTGTTTCCCAACACAGCACCTGAGAGAGATATTTTTTCACCCACTCTGGGTCTTTTCTAGTCATAAATTGCAAACAAAAAATCCTTATAAAATATTATTTTAAAAGGAACTTTTAAAAGCACTTACTAAACAAATAAACAAACAAAAGCTTCCCTTGCTACCTTCAGGTTCTATTAGCATTAAATTTTCTGCTTAAAAACAGTGGTGGGGAAATCATAATGTTACTTACTATTCATGAGTTGTTCAGAGCACCCAAAGAGGTATTGTTTAAACTAAAAAAAAAGAGATTTCTTGCATGCTGCCTTCTCCCAAACCAATTTTCATAGGGTAGGAATGACTGATGTTCTTACTACTGAGGGAGCCGGGGACTGTGAAGCCTGTGAATATTTACCTGGTAGGATTTCTACAGCATACAACGGAGCTACTCACCAGCCAAGGTCACTTCTGRCTTAAGCAATCAGTTCAATGGACTTTAGTATTGTTATATAATTGTAACCAGAAATCCTCTGGGAGTTTGAACCATGCTGTTGTGCTCTCACAAGTAATTTGTGAGGAATCYCTCCCCTTAGGAGTCTGTTTTGGTCAGTAATGTGAGACAGCTGTGAGTTTTCTTTGGGYGAGATGAACTCCCAGTGATCAGAGCCCAGGCCATGCTCTAATCATCTCCCATGATGTTATCTTACAGCTTCTCTTCAGAAAGGGTAGACACCTCAAAACCACTTTTAACTTTCTCGAGTTCATATTGTAGGCTTGTAATTCTGTTTCTCCATATGAAACATTGACCACAGCTGCTTTACTGCTGTTTCTGCAACTGCAGTTCCATTGACTACTCATTTGCACCCTCCAGATGAGATCCTGATCCAGCAAAATCCATGAAAGCTTTGACACTGACTTCTGCTAGACCTAGGCTTCAAGCAGTAGCCTCTGACTGTTGTTAAACCTGTATGTTAGCCTATTCCTGATTTCAGCTTTGTTTCACAGCGCTGTTCTTCTAACCACTCAGCAATGCACACATCTAGAGCCTACCTGAGCTCCTATTTCTCTTTACATCAAGTAGATGACGTTTAGAAATAGGCTGCAGCATTCACCTTCCCTCAGCCAACTTCATCCAGCTGTGGCCCATAATTTCTAAGATAAATTATCTCAAACTGAAAGGATGGGATACTGGGCTAACAGGGGCAAAAATAAAGCTGTGGTCAAATGAAAAGGAAATTTTAGGTTGATTTGTATTTTGAAATTGATTAAGTATTTGCAYACAGAGACCCACTCAAGTCCTAGGCAGATGGGTCAGTATTGACCCTRACAGCCCTTTCCTTAAACTGTTATACCTTAGCTCATCCCTGCTCATAATGGTAGCTGTAAAACAAAGTGCTTGAGGACACCTCGTGGTGGTTGTCTGGGAAAGGAAATTTGGTTCCAAAGCACTGCCACGGTCCAAGTCTGCCTGTCTTAGGTGCTCAGATATTGGCAACAGCCCATCCCACAGCGATCCCACTGTCAAGCTTTGCAATRTGTTGTTATTATTCTGAGGTGAACTGTATGAGGTTCTGAGGCAGTCTAATCCAGGAGTACACCACACCACCCACCCTCCTGCCCTCAATCCMAGTTCTTTTTCCAATGGAAAGCTGGAAGCATGGTAGGGAGGAGAGAGAAGAGAGGGCAGACAGTTACACACCCAGGCCGCATCCTGACAAACAAGCAGCATGTTACTGTAGTGCACATCTGGGCCTCYAAGCTGGAAAACAGCCCCAGGCCTCACAATTCAGATGCACCTCTATGTCTCACAAGTTGTTTTAAGCAGGAAATTGCCCTGTGGCTGGCCATGAAGCCCAAATAACTGGCTGTGAGAGACCCACACTATCTTTCATGGGCATACTGCTGTGCTGCTGCATTGACAAACTCACAGGGGGGACCTGGGCATGTGGTTTCTCTTACTATCATGAGAAAACTTCCTTGGCTTAGATCTGCAATGACCTCCAGACCTTGCTGAACAAGGTCACTGTGCTGCAGGAAATGCTGAGGTAAAGGCTGGGAGAAGCAAAGGCAAATGTAACAGTTACTGCAGGAAAGCAAGATGGTACTTATTGTTGTGACACCACCTGTAYTCCCATATAAAAGCCACAAGTGAGACTGGGAAGAGGATTAATTCTGCAAGGTGCTGAACAAACCCAGAGTGAACCTCCTCCCTTGCAGTTGTAAGCTGGGTTCATGTAAAGGAAAATTTCTAAAGCTGCAACATTTGCTTGTTCACCTTTTATTTTTTATATATACTAATAAAAAAACTGGAAAAGAGATGAAACCAAGAAAGACTGCAGTCTGCAAAAAATGTGTCTTAGGCCCACAAATTATGAAATTAGAYGGTCAGATTTTGGGAATCATGCAGGCAATGATAAAAAAAAATCAAGACGAGAAGGAGAGAGGTGAGAAATAAATTTCAGAGGATTAGGGCTCTGGATCAGGTTATTAAGAAGAGTCTTCATGCGTTCCTATGAAACCACATATTTCATTCTCTCTTTAGATCAAATAGAAGCTTCTATGCAGACAAAAAGGGAAAATTACTCCTAGCAGAGCTCATCATTGTCAATAAAGATTCAGTTGTTAAAACAATTTCCCAGTGCCAAAGATAAAAATATATTTAACAGCGTGGTCTGTTACTTCTTTACAAATGATTACTTAGCTTTTAAATAATAGCTCTGTTGGAGGCACACATCCATTTAATATTTGGATTTTTTCACATGTAATTCCCTTATGAATGGTAAATGTGTGTTTAAGATTTTACTAAATTAATAGGGGCAAATTCTGCCCTYTGAAAATTTGATATAAAGTATTTGCCCTAATAGAGATTCACACTTGTAGTTAAATTAAGTTTGTAGGGAACAAACTTAGAGCTCATGATATTCAACACWGTGATTGGAATGTAACACAAGAAAGGGTTACTTTCTAACTGCTTGTAAGATTTAAGGCAGATAAATAAATAATAAWAGCCTTTCTTTGTGAAAGGAGATATTCAGTCTACCAAAAGCACCATCCAAGTCATTAAAGGATTCCCAGGTGCCAGCATTTGGAAAGGGTATTATCTATTCAAACAGTTTAGGCAGAGGTCTCTGCTGCTCTCTCTCCTGGGTCAGCTCAGATTTCCTCAATCTCTGCCCAGAACTGAGCAGAGGCAGGAAAGAAAAGCTGGAAATTTCAGAGGAGTATAATTTTCTCCTGAATTAGAACATCTTTTTCAGTTTTGCAGTAAAAATGAGGAAACCCCTCCTTTGTTAGTGCAGCTGCAAGGATGGTGGGTGAGGGCCACACACTGCATGTGGAGGGACAGACTCTGCAGCACATGCTGTGCAGAGAACCCTCTTTTCCTCCCCTTTTTAGATATAATTTACCTGGCTCCATTCTATTACTGGGAATAGAAACCACATCCAAATGCCAGCACAATGCAGCTGGGTTTTTTTAAAAAAGTAATTCAGCAGCAGGTGGAAGAGTGAATCCACACAAAGGCAAAAGGCTTGCTGAGGAGATGCCTGAGCTTTGCTGGCAAAACTCAGTGCCCCAAAGATGGGGATGCAAACACCTCTCTGGATGTTTGATGCTTGGAGGGCACAGTTATCTGAAGTTGCACACCCCACCTGAGTTGGTCTCAGGCTCTTGCACAATTTTATATGTTGAAAGTTCTAAGCAGGTGCCTTACACTGAGTAGAAGTTTCATATTGGGAAGTATGTTCCTGAGGAAAAAAAATGGTGAAAATATCAATCTCTGTAGAAAGTGACACAGAGAAATGGCCAGTGTCTCCGACTATGTGGCAAAGAGAGACATGAAGATGTCTCCCACAGGAATAAGCTCTGCCTAGAAAAAAAAACCAAAAAAACAAGCTTACTACAAGAAGAATGCTTTCTGGAAACCTTACCTGCAATTAATGAGATCTGCCCCATCAATTGTTCTGGTCCCAGAGCTCCCCTGAATGCACTTCCTTACTTCTGCTCTGGGCTCTCAGAGCAAAAACACTCATCCCATCATCAGGTTGCTACATGCATCAGGCATCACTCTGGTCTTCATTGTTCCTTTTGCTGAAACACTCTGGACACTGTCTAGAGCCACCTGATAGCTTCAGATTTGTTGAGCTTTCTTCCAAGGACAAGTTGATTTCTCCTTGTTACACCAAGACTGTGATCACTGTTGGCTGCTGATTCWTTCCTCTCTGTGATGTGTATTTTGGTCACAGTTCTGAAAAGCCTAAATCATCCAGGTCCCTGCATTATAAGACATGCTCTTCTACTATTTTGCTGTAGCAACTGCAGCTTGTAGAGATAAGAGCACTAAAAATTGAACTTATAAAGACCAGGGACTGTCATAAGCAAGTTGCTTCCAGYGAATCACCAAAACAATTTAGCAATCTTTCATGCACTGCATATCTTTGTAGGAAGTCTGAAACCCCCTGTATTAGTTATTTATGTATTATGTATATAGTGAATATATTAAATCCTAGTGCCAAGACACTAGAATGTTGGGCTGGATATCACCRGTATCAATGTAAATAACCCCTATACAATGCATTAAATCCTCCTGAAGCCTAACCACAGTCAGAACTACAGTGACGTAGCAGTTTCTCACTGTGCTGTTCTGTCTTTCCCAGGGTTCCCCAGTAGTGCCTTCCTCCTCAAGCTGTTGGCAGTCAGACTGGCAGCGTGACGCATGCAAAGCCACAGTGCTGCATCTCACYCCTCTGGTACCTGAAAAACAACCAAGACAGACGTTCAGCTGTCAGCTAGAAGTATCACAGCTACTCGTGTGATGCCCAGGCAGGATGATRTAATCAGCACATTGGTACTTCTCAGCCCAGTAAACTCTACCTGTCCCCTGTGCCAAGAGCAGTCAGCATGATAGATGCTATTAGGGGAGTGATGAAAAGCATGAAACAAACCTTAAAGACATRGAAAACTTCATGTCACAAAATGACAAAGCTCTTTGGCTCTTGTGCCTGTGTTTTCCTGAGTAAGGCAGGATAACTACTTTATTTGGGCATATTGCCTGCCCAGGATTATGCCAAAGAGAATCTCCGGGGAAGGCTTGTCACAGTCATCCTGCAGATTTTTCTCTGTATCTCAGCACAGCTGTTCCCATCCTGACCTACTAGCCCAATTTCTTGCTGAGTTGTTACCAAGATTGCTACTGCAAGCATTCCAAAAGTGGAGGAGTCCAGCTCATGGCACACACTGCCTTTTCATCCCTTCATCTCCATGTCTCCCCATGACTGCACATCTAGCTCAGGTCTCAGTAACGGAGAA